CATGCCTATAATCCCAGCACTTTGGAAGTCCAAGGTGGGCAGATCACTTGAGATCAGAAGTTTGAGACCAGCCTGCCAACATGGTAAAACCCTATCTCTACTAAAAAATGCAAAAATTAGCCAGGCATGGTGGCACATGCCTGTAATCCCAGATTCTCAGGAGGTTAAGGTGGGAGAATTGCTTGATCCTGGGAGCCAGAGGTTTCAGTGAGCTAAGATTGTACCACTGCACTCCAGCCTGGGTGACAGAGTGAGATCCCATCCGAAATAATACAAATAAAATTTAAAAACACCTTTAAAAAGGTATTGGGCTGGCAAACAGGGAAATTAGGGGCCATGGATTCATTGATTCATTCTATAGCTCTTAGGAAGGGTTCTCTTGGTTTCAGGCACTGTTTAGGTGATGCAGATACAGAGAGAAGTACTTGATGTATGATTCTTCAGGAGCTGCTGGGCCAGTGCTGGGATGACGGCTAGCATATAAACCCTCGGCAGGGGAGGCAACACAGAAGCTGTGTCCTTAGTGATGCTGGGAGTAAGGAAAGGGCATTTAAGGGCCTGGTGCCTCCAGAGATAAGGAAGGGGGCCCAGGGCAAATGGAGGACCTGGAGAGGCTCAGGTCAGACCTAAGACCAGGGGTATGGTGAGGCCAGGGAGTGGAAGGCCTTGAACGCCAACCTAGGGGGATTTGACTTGATGCAGAAGGCAACTGGGCGCCACAGAGTTTCTAAGTCAGAGGATGAGCATGCTCAGATTGCTATGGAAGAATTTTCCAAGCAGCACTATTGAAAAGAGCAGTGAAGCCTGGATGTAGGGAGACTGGACGTCTGGAGACCACTGCAGCCCTCGTCATGTATACAGCTGGCGCTCACCTCTGCCCCTCCTTTGTTTCCTCCTCCCTCTCCTGGTTTTCCTCTATCTCCTTCCTCTTCTTTACCTACCACCCTCACTTTCTTTACCAGTTACTTTTTCCTCTATCCTTTCTTCCTGAAAAGGCCAGAAGCTCTAATCATGGACAGGCTAGAATAGATCCTTTTGCCTCCTCTAGTATTTCTACTTCTAGTTAAAATATCCAGTGAGACAGCGTACTGCCAGAATATCATCCTTATCAAAAAAGAAGTAATGGACTCTGGCAATAAACTATCCAACTCTCCAGTGATGCACACGTGGAGAAAGCCTGAACACATTTAAGGAGTTTGGCGAGCAGTGTAGTTTCAAGGTGACCCAACTCATACAACGGAGGCACCTTCCAGCTCCTAAATGAACACATGCCTCCATCTGCTGTGGCATCATTCCGTATCCTCTAGAATTTTCCTTGGCATCACCCTCAAGCCTCAACTTGTCCTACTGGGACAAGATGCAGACTCACCAATTGTGAAGTTCTGAAATGCAGCTGATCTGCAATACTCACCTGGCACCAACCTGCTGGTTTGAACAAGTATGAAAACCTTTCTGCAGAATACCAAGCAACGGGGTGAAAATTACCCTCACAGTGATCGCAAGAAACGCTCCTCCAATGCACAGTTCCAAAAGGTGCAGGGTAGTTACAGGGTTCCTCAACATTTAGAAAGAAATAGTCACTTACAAAATAAAACCCAGCCAAACACACCTCTAAAGCAAACCAGCTAGGAAGAATAGCCAGCATATTGCTAAAGTAATGGGCTTTGCTTTTGTGAGCCCAGAATGGAGAGTGCAAACTAACGGTTTGGCATGAATCTTTTTCGGACATAGCCAGGTATGCAGATAGTACCTGTGATAGTAAAAAATGAGTATCTTTAAGGATTTCTTTTGGTCTTTGTTTTTCTGCAGGTTGGTTAGTTATTACTACAGAATAAAACACTCCAGGCCAGGTGAGGTGGCTCACACCTGTAATCCCAGCACTTTGGGAGGCCAAGGCAGGCAGATCACTTGGGGTCAGGAGTTCGAGACCAGCCTTGCCAACATGGTTAAACTCAGTCTCTACTAAAAATATAAAAATTTGCGAGGTGTGATGGCGGGTGTTTTTAATCCCGGCTACGCTGGGGGCTGAGGCAGGAGAATTGCATGAGCCCAGGAGGTGGGGGTTGCAGTGAGCAGAGATGGCACCACTGCACTCCAGCCTAGACAACAGAGTGAGACTCCATCTCAAAAAAAAAAAAAATTAATTAACTTTTAAAAATGAAAAGAAACACTCCAAAATTTAATAGGTTAAAACAACCAACTTTTTTTTTTTTTTTTCTGAGACAGAGTCTCATCCTGCCTCCCAGGCTGGAGTGCAATGGCACAACCTCGGTTAACTGCAACCCCCGCCTGCTGGGTTCAAGCGATTCTCCTGCCTGAGCCTCCTGAGTAGCTGGGATTACAGGTGCGCACCACCATGCCTGGCTAATTTTTTGTATATTTACTAGGGATGGGGTTTCACTGTGTTGGCCAGGTTGGTCTCAAACTCCTGACCTCGTAATCTGCCTGCCTTGGCCCCCCAAAGAGCTGAGATTACAGGCGTGAGCCACTGTGTCCGGCCCAACAACAATGATTTATTATTTGTCAAGTTTGCTGGCCAGCTGGGAAGTTATGCTGACCACACAGGTGGGCTGTCTGATGTGTCTGTGGTCAGCTGGTGCATTGACTAAGTACTAGAGAGTCCCCATGGCCCAGGCTGGCTCAGCTTGGCTCTTCCCTGCATGTAGCCAGACAACGCAAGCTTGTGTTCATGGTGGGGTGTTGTTCTGAGGAGCAGGAAGGAAGCACTCCATGCCTTGCCCTGTCACCCACGGCTCTTTACTCCCTCCTTTGCTTGACTTTCCATTCCTCTGAACTGCATTCTGGGCTATTTCCTCAGATTTTATCTTCTAGTTAATTATTACTTTTTTAGATTCTTTTGCAATTAAAAGTAATTGCAGGTCATGCCTGGTAGCTCATGCCTGTAATCCCAGCACTTTGGAAGGCCAAGGCAGAGGGATCATTTGAGGTTAGGGGTTTGAGACCAGTCTGACCAACATGGTGAAACCCTGACTGACTCTACAAAAAATACAAAAAAATTTTAGCCAGGTTTAATGGTGTGTGCCTGTAATCCCGGCTACGTAGGAGGCTGAAGCAGGAGGATGGCTTGAACTGGGGAGGCAGAAGTTGCAGTGAGCCAAGATCGCGCCATTGCACTCCAGCCTGAGTGACAGGAGTGAAAGTCCATCTCAAAAAAAAAAAAAAAAAAAAAAAGGCATAATACTCATTGTAATTGCATATTTTCTTATAAATATATAACTATCCCCAACATATTCCTGTATTATATTTTATTTTTAAAAGTTTGTTATTGTTTTGGTCTAAAACAATATACTTCATAAGAAGAAACCGTGGTTACATGTAAGTGCCTGATTATATAAAGAAGTTGTATTACTGCATACCCATTAGAATTACTGCTATTAGAAAAATAGAAAATAACAAGTGTTGAAGAAGAAATGGAGAGACTGGAACTCTTGTCTACTATTGGTGCGATTGTAAAATGGCACAGGCACTGTGGAAAACAGTATGGCAGTTCCTCAGAAACTCTCAGAATGACCATATGATTTAGCACTTCTTCTGGAAGATACGTTTAAAGAATTGAAAGCAGAGTCTTGAAGAGATATTTGTACCCACGTATTTATAACAGCATTCTTCACAATAGACAAAGGGTGGACGCAACCCAGTGTCCATCAATGGATGAACAGATAAGTAAAATGTGGTAAATACATACAATGGAAGATTATTTAGCCTTAAAAAGTGACGAAATTTGGACACATGCTATAAGGTGGTTGAACCTTGAAGACACTGTGCTAAGTGAAATACAGCAGTCACCAAAAGACAGATACTTTTTTTTTTTTTTGAGACAGAGTCTCTCTCTCTCGCCAGTTTGGAGTGCAGTGGCACCATCTTGGCTCACTGCAGCCTCCACCTCCCAGGGTTCAAGCAATTCTCCTGCCTCAGCCTCCTGAATAGCTGGGATTACAGGCATCCACTACAACGCCCAGCTACTTTTTGCATTTTTAGTAGAGACAGTGTTTCACCATGTTGGCCAGGATGGTCTCAATCTCCTGACCTCATGATCTGTCCACCTCTGCCTCCCAAAGTGTTGGGATTACAGGCGTGAGCCACCGCACCTGGACAAGACGGATTCTTTATATGAGGTATCTAGGGTAGTCAGACTCATAGGAACAGAAAGTAGAATGGTGAGTTCCGGCGCCTGAGGAGAGAAGGGGGATTGTGGCTTAATGGGTGTAGAGTTTCAGTTTTACAAAATGAAAAAGGTTTGGAGACTGGTTGCACCATAATGTGAGGATATTTAACACTATTAAACTGTACACTTAAACATGGTTAGGATAAGCAGATGCAGTGGTTCACGCTTGTAATCCCAGCACTTTGGGAGGCTGAGGTGGGTGGATCACCTGAGGTCAGGAGTTCGAGACCAGCCTGGCCAACATGGTTAAACCCCATCTTTACTAAAACTATAAAAATTAGCCAAGTGTGGTGGTGGGTGCCTGTAATCCCAGCTACTCTGGAGGCTGAGGCAGAAGACTTGCTTGAACCTGAGAGGTAGAGGTTGCAGTGAGCTGAGATCATGCCACTGCACTCTAGTGTGGGCAACGAGAATGAAACTCCTTCTCAAAAAAAAGAAAGAAACATGGTTAGGATAGTATATTTTATGTTGTATGTATTTTACCAAAATTAAAAAAGAAGTTATAAGTTAAAACAAGACCAAGTACACAACTACAGTCTTACATCCGTAGTAGGAGTGGGCCGGGAAGAATAGAAAGTTCCCAAAGGCCCTTTAAAATACACTGGCGAGATACTACTTAGCCCAGGGCCCGGTGGCTAGGCTGGCTCTCTCCTTTCCAATCGGATGCCTCTGCCGCAAACGTGCTCTGCCAGATCATCGGTCAGGCCAGGAAGCATCCGAGCTTGATGCCCCTCTTTGTATTTACTGGAGCTGGAGGCACTGGAACAGCACTGTATCTCTTGCATCTGGCATTGTTCAATCCAGATGTTAGTTAAGACAGAAAGAATAACCCAGTGTCCTGGAACGAACTGAGTCCCGATGATCAATACAGGTTCTACTCAGTCAATGTGGATTACAGCAAACTCAAGAAAGAAGCTCCAGATTTCTGAATGAAATGTTTCACTATAAAGCTGCTTTAGAATGAAAGTCTTCCAGAAGCCATCCACACAGTTTTCTACTTAACCAGGAAATAGTTCTCCTCTAAATGCATAAAATCATGTTGATGTAATCTATTGGAGATTACACCGATTAATAAATAACTGAAACTTGAAAAGCAAAAAAATACACTGGCAACTACTCTACAGTGCTCCCATCCACCAAATAAACTATTTTCTTTTTTAGAGATGGAGTTTTGCTCTTGCTGCCCAGGCTGGAGTGCTCAGCTGACTGCAGCCTCTGCCTCCCGGGTTCAAGTGATTCTCCTGCCTCAGCCTCTTGAGTAGCTGGGATTACAGGCATGGGCCACCATGCCCAGCTATATTTTTATATTTGTAGTAGAAAAGGGTTTCATCATGTTGGCCAGGCTGGTCTTGAACTCCTAACCTCAGATGATCCACCTGCCTTGGCCTCCCAAAGTATAGGGATTACAGGCATGAACCACTGTGCCCCGTTCAAATAAACTTTAGATCTGAGATGCCGGAAGATGCCACTTGGCTCCGATTCTCCAAACTTTGGAATTAAGCCAGGGAAAGAAGTAAAAATGTTTAAAAACATAGTGTTTCCATACAGGACAGTAGGATTTAGAAAGCCCCAGGCTTATCTGTAAACTTTTCCCTCCTTCCAAAGATGAATGCTGTAAGACATTTGTATTATGTAATACTTCAGTACTGTACCGACGTCTAGACCAACTTCTTTCCATTCTGGGGAACAGATGTTCCCTGTTAGTCGTTGTTTTCTAGTGTTTCACTGGTTTTTGGTACCCTCATTTTATTTCTCTAGGATTATTTGTTTTTTAATTCTTTCTTAGAGCAGTTCTTGGTCAAAACTTATGAAAAATCAAATAAATATATGTATACTGAGTTTCCTTTGCCTTATTTTTGTTTGTTTGTTTGTTTGGTTTTTTTTGAGACAGAGTTTTGCTGTCTTTGCCCAGGGTGCAGTGCAATGGTGCGATCTCAGCCCATCACTACCTCCGACTCCCGGGTACAAGTGATTCTCTTGCCTCAGCCTTCTAAGTAGCTGGGATTACAGGCTTGAGCCACCACACCCGGCTAATTTTGTATTTTTAGTAGAGATGGGGTTTCTCCATGTTGGTCAGGCTAGTCTCGAACTCCTCACCTCAGGTGATCTGCCCACCTCGGCCTCCCAAAGTGCTGGGATTACTGGCGTGAGCCACCGCATGCAGCCACCTTATGTTTAAAAAAACTTTTTTGGAAAACCTTCTGACAGGTTAGAGTTGCTGATCTGATTGATAGGCTTGCTCCTGGCTAGTTTCCTGTTGGTTACCGAAGCTGGCTATGGTTCTCCAAAAACCATGTTCATAGAGGTGAGCTGCAGGAACCTCATTGATCTGTACTTGCTTTTATCCTAAAGTTTCACAGAGGTGATAATGTTACATTCTGCCTCAGAAAGAGTTGCAATTGTTAAGGACAATATTGTATTTCCTTTGTGTTTTGGCCCCATTTGCACTTCTTACAGAATTTTAGTTGTCTCAATGCCAAACAGCTGATGGACTTTGAAATCGTTCTGCAATTTTCATCTTTCCATACTTCTAGCTCATTGTGTTTTAAAAAGAGTCTCCCTTGGGGAAAAAAGCCACAGAATGCTCCTAGTATCTTCTGCAAATAAAGGACCCACCCAAAAAATTCAGGTGATTCTTTAAAGTCTCATGTTCCTCACTCAGAGGGTTCTGATGACTACGTTTGCAAAAACCACCGCAGAAACTTCCGGTGGCCTGGCAGGACCTTTGAAAAAGATCATCTTAGCAAAGCAAAGCAAAGCAAAGGACAGGGCTGCTCTGTACAGAACGCAATAGCAAATAAGAGCTGCTGAACTTTGCCGGCCTTCTGTTTGGCAGTCCTACAGAGTGCATCCCTTCTCTTTTCTGAGAGAGACAAAGGACAATTTCAGCACAGAAGGCCGTGCACGTTTGCTTGGACATCTAGGTCATGACCTTGATCTTGGGAAAGCCAGAGTGGCCTACCTGAAACGGTCCAATCCCCCAGCATCGTGGATGCGTCCCCATGTCCCTCAAGATGCCTGTTCTGGTCTGAGCTGTCCGTAGTGTTCAGGGAAAGCAGGGGTAGCTCAAGAATTTCTCTGTCAAGAGTTTTAGGGCTGCAAGCCTGGTAGGAACTGGGTGGTGGGAAGGTTGGAAGTACTGTGTTTTGACTTTGAATCTGATTTCATAACGTATTAGAAGGATAGACAGATGCGAAATGGAATTGTTAACAGCATGTATTGAGAGGGCGGGAAGAGCTTCTGCAAAGCCCCAGACCTCAGCGCCTACTGCTGAGTCGGAAACCTCTGCACAGATTGGGAGCGCTCCCTAACTCATCCAGAAGTAAAATCTCATGGCCTGTGTTACAAAAATGCTGCCACTCATGATGGCAAGTCTTGCACGTTTGCAGCCTTGAGAGTCTAGCCCCAGGCAGAGGTACCTCACGAGTTTAGGTGACAAGGATCTGTCCTGGGCCCAGATGGCCAAGGTGAGCAGGGATGGCGCTGACGGGGCGGGGCCTGAGGGGAGGGGCCGCAGCGGTGGGCGGGGTTAGAGGGCGGAATTGAAGGCGGTGGGGCGGGGAGAGGCGGGGCTGGACGGGGAGGGGCCGGAGAAGTGGGCGGGGTTACAGAGCGGGATTGAAGCCCTCGGGGCAGGGCGGGGAAGGCGGGCAGGGCGGGGAAGGCGGGCAGGGCGGGGAAGGCGGGCAGGGCGGGGAAGGCGGGCAGGGCGTGGGCGGGGCCGGCCGGCGGGGCGGGGCGCGGCGCCGGGGCTCAGACTCCGAGCAGGACGGCGGGCGGCACTAGAGGGAGCTGCGGCCGCGCCCGCCCAGCCGCGCCGGCCCGGCCCGGAGCGCCGCCTCCCCAGCCAGCGCCGCCGCTATGGCGGAGGACAGCGAGTCTGCGGCCAGCCAGCAGAGCCTGGAACTGGACGACCAGGACACGTGCGGGATAGACGGGGACAATGAGGAGGAGACGGAGCACGCCAAAGGGTAGGGGCGGCGCGCGGGCGCATTGGGCGCGACAGGGCGAGGACCGCGCGCGCCAGGGGCTCCCGCTCCGGTGCCGGCTCCCGGGACTGGGGGCCCCTCGGCCGCTCCGTCCCGCGATGGCTTCGCAGCGGCGCGGAGCCCACGGTGAGGTCCAGGGCGCGCGGCTGGCTCCGGAAGAGGACAGTGTGCGGGGAGGCGAGGCCCGTGGTGGGCGGGGAGGCTGGGGCCCGCGCGGGGACGGGCAACGCGACTGTCACCTGCCGCGCGCCCCCGGCCGGCCTCGCCCATTCCCGCTGGCGGCCTGGCCCTGGAGGCGCGTGCTACCTCGCCCGCGGGTGGCACTGATGGGCGCCGAGGAGAGGCGCGCCGCCCTTCCCTTTGTGGCGGACGCAGCCTGGGGTGGGAGGTCGCCCTCCCCTGCCCCCTGCCATCCTTGTTAAGTCCCTTCAGATTCCCTCTCAGCAGCCGCCACCCGAAAAGAATGGGCAAACGGGAGGGTGGAGCGGCATGGAGGTGCCCCTGGTGGTGTCTGAGCTGCCGGCGGCGAACTGTGCAAAGTTCTGCCTCCTCGGCCAGGTCGAAGGCGCCGAGGGGATCCTGGGCCCGGCTCCTGCTGGGGACACTGGGCTTTGCACCGCCTCGGGTGTCCCTAGAGCTCTTCAGAGCAGGGCCGACCCCCTGAACCCGGCTCTCGCTGACCTGGCCGCATCCAGTTTGCAGAGCTGGTATTTGATCTCCAAAACTCAATTCACCAGTCCTTTTCACACTTGATTGGATTTCTTAATCCTTTGCATTTGCCCCCTTTCTCCCCTGCAGACTTGATTTGCTCTTCTGTTAGAGAAAAGATTGCTTCAGGTGAAGGCATGTGCTGATGGTCTTTTTAGGGGCAGGGGGTCATTTAAAATAAAAACTGGTGTCCTTTTAAATTGGTGTTTGCATTACCCTTTTACCCTATTGGATTCAAACTATGCACTGGCCCAGAGCGGTTCTTGCTTACCCCCTTAGAAGTGAGATTTTTCGAACCATGGTGAGTGATGGAGAAGTGGGTCAGCTTAAAAAACATGATAGGGAGGCCTGAGTCCCAGATGGTTTGGTTCATGGAGAGATTCTTGAAATGATTGATGATTGAAAGTGTAAATCCCTTGCATTCTACTTGTCTACTTGAAGATTTATTAAATATTAAAGGGACTTTTTACTGACCTCTAATTCATTATAAAATAGTCACAAGAAATCAAGGAAAAGAAAAACTATGTGTATCTCCCATTTCCAAGTTTTTCTTTTTTTGCCGTGAATACTTAAATGTCGGCTGCAAGAAACGAATGTTCGTGTCTAGAATTTTTTTTTTTTTTAAAGAGAGGAAAGGAGATTGGACAGAAATCTGAACCTGACTTCTGTTTGTGCAGCAATAGAAATTTGCTTGTGATAGACAGCTAAATACAAATACGTTTTAAAACAGTAGTTCTAGTGCCAGAAATGGGCCCTGGTGCAGATGCAAGTTGATGGATTAACTTCAGTACCTGTGTTATCTTTCTGCAGAGACCCTGGGCAAGTTTTCTCTACTGTAATTTCTGTTTACTGTCACTCCCTTGATTGATACTCTAGCTTGGGGGATTTGATTAGGACTTCTTTGCTTACACTGTTTCGAATGTTCGTGGTACAAAGAATTCCTCATCTGTGTGCCCATTGATCTGAACCTGTCCCCTGACACCTTTCAAGAAGCTAAATAAAGTTCCCAGAGTAGCACTCAGAGCCATCTGTGCTGCCTTCAGGAGTTTTCGGTTTTGTCTATTAGCACATTCATTATATATTAGCAAGGTTAATCAAAATTTAGAGATGCCCCATGGACTGAAATGTTTTCACCAAGAGCAGATAACATGTTAATAGCTTCTAGTGGGAAAAGATTGACATAATGGTTATATTGTACTCTTTTTAAATGTAAGGAGATTAAGAAAACTCCCAATGACTGCTTTTGCTGGATTCCTTTTTGGATTTGAATTTAGACAATGTGTGCCAAGTTTGGGGGAGTAATTGTGTTTTATTTGGCTTTTGTACTGATGATATCGCTGTACAAACCTAGGTTTTCGTTAAGTAGCTCAACTTTGGAAATGTTAAAATTTGAAAGACTCTTTCTCTACTTGGCCTCTTCATTCCCATCAGTTTAAATAAATAACAAACAATGAGCCTTTGGATGAATCAGTAAGAACATGTTTCACCTTTTAAAGGCAGTTTGTCAATTTGAGGCCACCAGGCAGCAGCCAGTGCAGAGCGGTAATTTACTGAATAGTACCCTTGTGGCCTGAAAGGATTCATTTACCCCACCACTCAGCATAATGTATTTATTAGTCGTTTTAGACATACTAAGTTGAAACTAGAGCCTCAAATAAGAGCAAAATACCTAATTAGAGTCCTGTTTTATACCAAAATATGTATGTAAATATGTAAAACTGCATATGCTTTTCTTTTATTATCAGGGAATTTTCTTCACGGACTAAAAGGGTATTTCATTTTATAGATAATGCTGAGTCCATGAATGAAATATAAGATGTTTTATGTTTAATTAAAAGCAATGGCATAAGTATTATAAAACACTTGAATCTCACTGTGTTTATATATTGTTTTTCATGGAAAATATACTCTCTCTTTTTTTTTTTTGAGATGGAGTCTTGCCCTGTCACCCAGGCTGGAGTGCAGTGGTGCCATCTCAGCTCACTGCAACCTTCGCCTCCTGGGTTCAAGCGATTCTCCTGCCTCAGCCTCCCGAATAGCTGGGACTACAGGCACGTGCCACCATACTCAACTAATTTTTGTATGTTTAGTAGAGATGGGGTTTCACCATATTGGCCAGGATGGTCTCGAACTCCTGACCTCAAGTGATGCGCCCGCCTTGGCGTCCCAGAGTGCTGGAATTACAGGTGTGAGCTACTACCCCCGGCCTGGAGGATGAATTTCCTAGGAGCTTTCACGGTTGGATCTGAGGTTAGGATGCTCAAGGATCTTTAATACTTCCCTCATTTTGCTGTGTTCTTGCCTTCTGTTACTTCTGAAGGGCTTCAGGGAAACCACTGAGGACAGGGCAAATTGTTGAATCATTTAAAACCTACCTTCTTCTTCTTGCTGTCCTTTTGACGTATGGCCTCTCCATTTACAAAATACATTTGGTCTTGGTCATGGTCTCTTACTGAGCTAATGTTATTGTCCATTGTTGGAGACAGAGTCAAATATAATCGGTGTTTTGGTAACAAAACCACATCTCTCCCCTTGCTTTACCAACATTGACTTCCAGAGTGCATACTTCTAGTCAAATAGATGTTTCTCATAGCTTTCCATTAAGAGAGTTTTTCCCTCAATATTCACTGGAAGCAGCTACTAAGAAGATTTATACAAGAACCAAAATAAACAGAGATGAGTATGTCTTTGTTGGCAAATATGGGACTAAGTTAGTCCCTGGAGTAGACATGAAATAGTTTTAGTATTTACGAGTTAAGACGTTTTTAAGAGTTCTTTTTTTTTTTTAGAAAGATTGAAGATCTGGTATTGGACAAAGATGAAACTTTGGAATTCTATTCACAAAGAACATAACCTGTCTTTTACCACCCCCAATTTAGGGGAAAAAAATGGAAGTTCTTCTTTGGGGACTGTGTTGTTTTATCTGATTATCTATTGTTGAAATTAAGTTGGGAACTCCCCCTTAGCTGTATGGTATCTGTGGGAAAACACAGAAACATATTATGACTTACAATAGATTTTTCTTATGGAAAATTTAGGAATAACTCAAAGCTGCCCTTTCTGAAATTTGATCTGTTATCAACTGTATACATCTAAATGGAAAAATGGATTAACAACAGTCTTTGCCTGAGGGACCTCCTCAACTCAAGAACTATAGTTTGAAATGATCAAATATCTGCTAAGACTTGCATCTGAATGGGTGATGTCACCCTTTGGTCCAAAATAAACTTTTTCCAGGGTTGTCTAAATATGGGACACATACTTTGCCATCTTTGTTTATTAACACAAATGTACAATGTACATCTATACTAGTTAAAACCACTTTATTTTAATTGAACCAAGTTCTACTCCAAGGTCAAGAAATTGACTGATTTGTTATTTCATTTGAAAACATGTTAATGACTTTTATTTGTGATAAGAGAAAAATATGCTTATTCAGAAATCAAACAATAGGGCCAGGTGTGGTGGCTCATGCCTGTCATCCCAGTGCTTTGGGAGGCCAAGGATTGCTTAAGGCCAAGAGTTCAAGGTCAACACAGACCCTATCTCTATAAAATAAAGAATGAGCTAAGACATGGTGATGCATGCCTGTAGTTCCAGCTACTTGGGAGGCTGAGATGGGAGGATCGCTTTAGCCCAGCGAGCTATGATTGTACTACTGTACTCCAGCCTGGGCAACAGCATGAGACTCTGTCTAAAAATATATATATATATATATATATATATATATACACACACATATATATATATCTTATATATTTATATATCATATGTAAATATCAAATATATAGATATATAAATTTCAAATTATATAGAGATATATAATATCAAATATATAGAGATAGAGATAATATCAAACATAGATATGTCAAATACATATAAATATAAAGAGGTAAATATATATATGTGTATATATATATAAAACAATAAAGTATATAAGGTAGAGTGAAAGCCCCTGGTCACCTAATTTCCTAGAGATGCAACCACTGACAGTTTAACTCACGTTTTAATATGTGTTGTGTGTTTAGCACCGCTGGGATCTTACTGTACCTGGGTGCGTTTGTTACCATGTATCTTTCACTGACATTTAGTGTTGTCTGCTGAAACTTTCTGGGGTGATAGTAATCTAGTTGGCAGTCATCAGCACATGGAGCACTTGAAATGTGGCAAGTGTGGCTGAAGAGCTGAATGCTTTATTTTATTTGAGTTGATTTAAATTTAAATAGCCCCATGTGACTCGTGCCTATCATACTGGACAGTTCCGATCATATTCA